TTAGAGTAAGATCTTTCTTAAAGGTAGGTGATCTGTTACTTCCCAAACAAGTCCGTCCATTCCTAATTACCAGTTTCCATGTAAGCTAACCTAGGTGTGGTGGGTTCAATGAGAAATGTCCCCTGTAGGCTCCTGCGTTTGAACATCCCCAGATGGCGGTGCCATTTGAGACTGTGGGGACTTTTAGAATGGAGAATGTCAATGGAAGGATTGTATCACTGGGACAGGCTGTGAGACTTTATAACCACCCTGTTTCCTGTTTGCCCTCTCTGCTTCTTGTGTGTGCAGCTTAGCTATGACCGTTCAGGTTTCAGCTCCTGCAACGCTCTGCTTGCTGCTTCCTGCTGTGCCTTCCGGCCATCATGGATATCTAGCTCTCTGAAACCATGAGGCAAAATAAGCTCTTCCTTCTATGAGTTGGTTTTGGTCACTGTATTTTATCACAGCAATAGAAAAGTAGCTAATAGACCAGGCTATCCAACCTTTCCCCTGGTTACGGTGTCTGAAAGGGTTTCTGACATTGGTGGGGACCTCAAATGTGGTCTGGGCTGTTGAAGCAGATGGGAAGAAAATGATGAGAAATTGTTTGTGGAAGACACTGGAGAAAGGGAAACATCAAGGACAGGAAAAGCTCATGACCTAGCGATGGCGGCAAGGCACACAAGGACCACTAAAGGGCACACAAGGACCACTAAAGGGCACACAAGGACCTCTAAAGCTCATGAACTAGAGATGGTGGCAGAGCACACAAAGACCACTAAAGGGCACACAAGGACCACTAAAGCTCATGACCTAGCGATGGCGGCAAGGCACACAAGGACCACTAAAGGGCACACAAGGACCACTAAAGCTCATGACCTAGAGATGGTGGCAGAGCACACAAGGAGGCACTGATGGGAAGGTTAGGATGGAGCTTATAAATGGCGGTACTCCGTGTGTAGGCAAGGGGGTGCAGGTCCTCAAGAGGTGTTATGAGTTCTTCTGAGAAACCAAGCAGTAATTCTCGCTTATCCGCCTGACAGACTCAACAGTGTGTTACATGCACTACTATTCCAATAAGCAAAAATATGTCCCAAGCTAGGCCTTTGATGATGCTTTCGTGAAGTTAAAAGGTGAACCGTTATTTTGAAATTTTAAAAAAGGCTAAACAGAACGCCTAACTCATAACCCAGTTTCCTACTGGCTCTCCTGTCTTCCATAATTTACCTTTTTCTCCTGGGCTGCTCGTTTCGGTCTAAGACAAACGCTGATGGGAAACTGGAGCCTCTTCCTCATTGTGAACAAGTGAAGCAAAGGCACAAACTTTCCTAGTACAGTTGAGTAATGGCCACAGCATGTGAGATGGAGTTGCTAACTTTTTATAGATTATTATTATTATAAAAATTTATGTGTATGTGCCTATGTGCATTCATGTACACCATATATCGGTAGGTGCCCTTGAAAGCAGGAGAAGGTTTAGATCTCCTGCCATTGGAGTTACAGGTGGTTGTGACCTGCCAAACCAAACCTGAGTCTGCTACAAGAGCTGTAAGTGCTCTTAACCACTGAGCCATCTCTCCAGCCTCTAATCTTACTTCCGAAGCATAGTCATAACTGGGCAAATGTCAAGAAGATTTCACGCATAAAGAACTGGGAATTACCAGTTTCTGTAATCAATAAATACTTCAGTACTTTTTATATTTATTATTGCTTCTAAGTATATATGTATGTGTGTACAACTGTTAGTGCATGTATGCCATATATGTGTAGATGTCCTTGAAGGTAGAAGAAGGCTTAGATCACCCCTGCCCCCCCAGCATTGGGTCTGATTACCAAGTGGAGGGTTTTCTAACAAATAACAATAAAAGATGGCAGACCACAAATGCCACTGTTTAAATAATGCATAAATGTTGAAGATTAATTTATATATGCAATGGCAGCTACGAGTCTAGTACTTTCTTTTTCAGGGTTTTTTTTTTTATTAAAAGTGCACAAGCCATTGGAGTTTACATCTACATAGAATGTTGTACCTTATACTACTATGTAATCCTTGAATTGCCTTCTCCGTCCCAAACCCCGTTTCCAGAAACAGTCACCTTTGATATTCCCTCCCTCAAGCCCTTGAAAAACTAACCAACTTCCTGTCCTTAGATTTTCTCATTCTAGACACTCCTTGTAAGCAGAGTCTCATGATACTGGCTTTTTATGGCTGACTTCTTTCTCTTAATATCATGTTTTTCTTTTTCTAATTTTTTTAGATTATTTAATTTATGTATATGAATGCTGCTGCAGGCTTTTTAATAATCTGTGGGGGTGTCCTTTATACCCTCCACCTGTGTTCCATTGGCCCTAAATAAGCATCTCTTCAGCAGTTCCTGATTGCCTGACATTGTCTAGTTCAGCAATCCTTGGTCTCTCAGGCAGTCTTCAATTAGGTCCTCCTGCAGGAGTTGTCTTTTTGGCTGCGTGTGCTCCCCACTCCCCTCAGCGTTTATGCAGAGGTGCCCACTGCTGTTCCTCCCACAGATACTTAAGCTGCTTTTACTCTTTAGCCATCATGAATAACTCTCCTACGAGCTTTTGTGTCAACGGAACTTCATTTCTTGTTGGTATATTCATAGGGGTTGAATTGTTAGGTTATACTGTAGCTTTACTTTGAAAGTCTTAAGAGACTGCTAAACTGTTTTCTAAAGCACCTGCACAGTTTTGCTTTCCCACCAGTAATGGATGAGAGTTTTAACTTCTCCACATCCTTGACAGCACTGTACTACTATCCATCCATCTTTTTTTTCAGCATCCTAGTGGTGTGAGGTGATATCCAAATGTCATTTTCCTTTGCAGTTCCCTAATGACTGGGGTGCTCAGCATCTCTGTGTGTGCTTCCTGGTCCTTTCATGTCATCTTTGGAACAACATCTGTTCAAATATTTTGCTTAGGTTTGAACTGAGTGATCTTTTTAGTTCTTGAGCTTTCAATGTCTGTTCTCTGAATTGTCTTCCTAGAGATGCTTCTGAGAATGTTGGGCTTTGCCTGCCTCGGTCTCCACACTGGGATGAAATACACCCTTACTTATGTGCATAATAATTAAACCACAACATTTATTGAGTTCTTTCTTTCTTCTAAGTCCATTTTTTTTTAAAGTTGTTGTTTGGACCACATGTTTCTCCTTTACATATTCAATGCAGCTCAGCAAAACCTCACCTCAGAGATGTACCCACCTGTTTCTTCAGAAACTGAGAGACGCCTAATCTCCACTTTTCTTCCTTTTTTTTAATTAATTGATTATCTTATTTATTTACATTTCAAATGTTCCCCTTCCTGGTCTCCCCTCAACAACCCTCTCCCATCCCATTCCCCATCCCCTTTGCCTCTAAAAGGGTGCTCCCCCACTCATCCACCCACTCCCTCATTCCCACTTTTCACCAAGGAAAATAAATTTAATAAAGCAGATGTGTCTATAAAATACCATCTGTACTTCAAATGTCTGGGAAAAGCTAGCCTCTTACAGACTCGAGACAGGTGCTACTTCCAATTTCTATTTTGTACCCTTGAGATTAAAATTTCTCACGTCTCCCACAAACACCAAGAAAGGCCCCCAACTTGACCTCTAAAAACTCTTCACACACCAGAAATGAGCAACGCTCATCAAAGCAATGAAGGAAAAGCCACCACCAAACAGTCTGCTAGAGAGCACTGAGCAAGGCATAGATTCATTTTCTTAAAACAAGTGTAGCAAAGTTACCAATTGTAGCAAAGTTACCAACTGTAGCAAAATTACAAAGTGTAGCAAAGTTACCAAGTGTAGCAAAGTTACCAAGTGTAGCAAAGTTACCAAGTGTAGCAAAGTTACCAAGAAGCAAAGTTACCAAGTAGCAAAATTACCAAGTGTAGCAGTTACAAAATGTAGCAGTTACCAAGTGTAGCAATTGCCAAGTGTAGCCAAGTTACCAAGTCATCAAGTATAGCAAAGTTACCAAGTGTAGCAAAGTTGGCAGCAGGAGAGGACCTAGGATGGGAACTGAGAAGGTTCATCTTTCAGCTAAATAATCACCAGCTGCTCAAAGGCCAAGGGAGGCATTGCCCCTACCTCCTGCTCTGGAAGGTGGCAAGTGATACAATCAATAAACAAATGGATATTTCAAGGCCAGGCTAAACCTTCCCTCTGCTACAGCTTCTGGGTTTCCAGAAATGTTCCCATTCTTTGCATCCAAGTACCAAGACCTCTCCATTTGCAAATCTAACATACCCAGAGTGTGCCAACCACAAGTAGCCAGTGGATTTAAAACACTGTCGGTAACTCCGCCCTTTTGTGATCAGCTTTCAGAACAGGCTGCCAGAATCTCTCCCACTGTGCACACGTGTGTAATAGTCTGCTACTATCGCCCAGTCTAGGTCTATGAGGGAGTTGCCATGGTCATCTGGATTACGATTTATATAAACAAGTTCATACATGTCCAACTCTCAAGGTGTCTAGTTATCATCTCCTGGCATCAAACAGAAGTTCCTGGTTAAATCCATGACCCCTGTGCCCTCGACCAACACCCTGTAAACACTGATGCGTTTTCTCTTGGCAATGTGACACAACACTCTGGAAAGCCATTGTGAAGAACAGTTTGCCCTAACACTTACATGCTGGACACATACATGCCCTAGAACTTGACTGTGTTCCAAGCAGCACTTTAAAGAAGTGACTTAGGGAAAATAGGACCCATAGGATGGACTTTGATCCAATCTGCTGGTGTCTGAAGAGGAGATTTAGAAGTGAGATCTTCCATTAAAGCTTATGCATGTAAAAATAAATAAAAATAAAGATTGTGGAGAACATGGAAAGTTGACAGCCACCTGCATTCTGATAAGAGCCAGAGAAGTCACACCCACTATCACCATGATCATAGAGGTCTCCACTACTGTGAGGAGTCAGTTTCTACTACCCAGTGATATTTTCTTATGCCAGCCCAAGCATAAGAATACAGGGGACTTCTCCTAGTTAAGAGGATCTCCTTGCTGGAGCGGCTACTCACCCGATAGTAGTCGGTGCTGTACACATCCCGGGACATCCCGAAGTCCCCAATTTTCACCAGCAAGTTCTCTCCCACCAGGCAGTTCCGGGTGGCCAGGTCACGGTGCACGAAGTGTTGAGACGCCAGGTAGACCATGCCTGCTGCGATTTGCTGAGCGATGTGCAGCATCTGCGACTGCGTCAGCTCGGTGGGCGGGTTACCCTCTGCCATCAATACCGCATCCGGCCCATGTGCCCTGTGGGAGAAAACAAGGGGCTGGAACCTCAGCTGGAAGACTGCAGGGGTCCTCAGTCTCCGCTCAGCAGCTGGGACTAGAGGACACTATCTCACCTGGGTAAAGAAGAGACCGGGATGCTCCAATCCACACACACTTTTATCTCTCCAACCGCCAAGAAAGCACCCAGAGACCTCGTTTTTACTGAGTGGGATGCCAGGGCTGTGTGGGCTGGAACGGTGAGCACCCCCACCCCAACACATCAAAATACTAATGTTTCAGGGAATTGAGAACTCTGCTCGAATCAGACATTAGCCACACTCTCAGAGTCCGAGAAGCATAACCCAACAGAGATAAAGAAAAAGCACCTTAAAGGAGGTTGGCTCTTCTCAAGTCATGGTCCTAGCATCTTTGGGGCCCCACCCTTCCTCTAAACTGTGATCCACTGGGCTACCTTGCACCAATGCTAATTGCTCCAGAAGTCCCCAACAAAGATCTATGGATAAGTGTAGCCTTTAAGTTGCCCTTGACTCTCCCCAAGAGGGCGCTACAGAAATTGATAAGTATGCTGCTGCCTTGGGCACCATGGCTTGGGCAAAGCTGGCCACCCCAAGGGGAAGTAAGGAGGTGGGTGTCTCCTTTTAGAGCTTGGAAACACTTACAACAAAGATGGAGAGTTTTCCAATGCATTTTATGGGTCCCAGGACTGCATATGAATGTTTGAAAGTGAGAGAGCCAGAATTTCCATGAACTGTTCCAGCCCGAGGTACACCTTTATCCCCCCAAGGCTGCAGACTTCAATGACTCTCCCTTTAACATTTCTAAAACATGCTGTCACCAAGCCTTCTCTCCCCCCAACACCCACCCTACTTTCTCTGGGAGCAAGTGCTGGCAGAGGCGTGGGGCGTGTCCCAGTCCACCACTATCTAACACCCTGATCTGGGGAAGTGTTTGAACGTCACTAATCTGTAATTTCCTCATTAGTCAAAGGCACAAGGGGGATATTAGCCCGGGTGATCCTTTGGTTCTCTCTCTGTCGCTGAATATCAAGACTTAGCTATTCCCTAGGGAGGAACTTGCTGGTTTCATACCAAGCAAGTCTGAACAGTTTTCACCTCTCCTTACACCCCAGCCCCCAGCTGCCTTTTGTGGCACCCAGGAACAGCCTGAGGAAACATCCCTGGAGGTTAGAAGACAAGACACAGCACAGAAGCCAAAGCTCAGGCTGTTGGCTGTTGTTAAATTTGAACCCAGTCCCAACAGAGGAGAATTATATAACCTGGGTCTGTTTCCTTATTCTATAAACCAGATCCTAGGAGCACCTTCCTAATAGAGTTGGCACAAAGAAGACTTGAGGGTGCTTCTAAGAAGGGAGGGGGAGCTTTTTATAGAACAAGGAGCGAGACTTTGCCAAAACAGGGTCTGTAAAGGAGAGGTACAGCAAATTGGGGTAAATAGGAACTTTCCTTTTCTTGATGATGTCAAAGTTCTTCCCACCTCACAGAAGATTCCTCACCGAGATCTCAGCCTCAGGTAAAGGACCTAGAGAGACATGTAAACTAAGAGGGAATCCAAAAGACTAAGACAAACTTAGGCATTCAGGGATGAACATAGTAGATCAGTGTCAGCCATAGCCTGTGCCAGCTACAGAAAATGGGACCCCTGTGTCTGCAGGAAGTACCAGTTCCAAACCCCTCCCGAGAAGGCACCTCTGCAAACCTCCTGCCTCATACTCCACAAGCAAAAGAAAGCTGGTAGCCCTACACCAGGGCTCTTCATAGCCCCGAGGACGGGGGAGGCTCTCACACCCTTGAGCAGCCATTTTCCTGCCCACTTCTGAGATACAAGCTTCTACACACCTTTGCGTTCCTGGAGTGAATGTCCCTCAATAAAGGGGAGGATGGGTGAGCCTCCTGGATGAGCTCTTAAGAGGAGCATGGATTCAGGTCTTCCTGCATCTTTTGAAAAATAAAAACTCATGATGCTTCTCCCAGGAGGAACCCCTCCCTTAACAAGTGGCAAGGCCTCCCCAGTGCTCTGGGTTGGGGAGCCAGTAGGAGGCTTACAGCATCTACAGGAAGCGCTAACCCTTGCTGGTCAGGTGGTCTCTGGCATGGCTTGAAGCTGGCAGTTCACCACCCTGACCTGGCTCTCTGACTCACACCTCTTTCCTACTATGTGTTTAAATGCACAGTGAGTGAGAGTGAGCCAACTCAGGGCTTGCATCGATGAGGCACGCACGTTACCGTCCAGCTGCACCCTAGCCTTCTGGTTATATAAAACTAAAGTGAGTTCATCTGTTACATTTGCTATAAAAATCAATTGGCACGTGACAGTTAGACAGGTTTATAGGATAGAGTGTGGTATTTAATGCATGTGTAGAACAGATTAAGGTAAGCTTACAACAAAATAACTGATATAGATTTCTCTTAGATATCTATCTTCCCTTGTATTTATAGAACCATCTCTACAGGTATTGTAAAATATGTAATTGATTGTCACCAACCATTGTTACCCAACCTAGTCACTAAGACTTATCCATCTCATACAGTGGCTCCCCTGTTTATCCTTAAACCATATTCCTCTGAGGGTGTTCGCAGCCACTTTCTCTGGAAGGGAGAGCATGGTGGGGGGTCTCGACTCTATCACCTGCTGTGTGACTTGGCTTTTATAATTGTGCTACAAGAGTGGTAATAATAATAATAATAAAAAAAATTATAAAGTTTATCATTCATTTTTAACTTTTAAAATACTACTCAGTTTTCATAAATTAATACATCTATATGCTTAGAAATTTTGAATAATTATCTGTTACTACTTGGAAGTTACTCCTCTATCTTTCTCCACATGAGAAGGGAACTTTGGAGATTCTAGAGCAAAAAACTGTGAAACTCCTGAAAGGAAATTTTCCTTCTTTTTTGGCCACCCCACTGATGTAAGACCTGGCTACACTGTGCTCGGTGTATGTGTTCTTACACGAATAAGAAGGTAAGAGACATAAGACATCTGGCTTTATCAGGCTCTGCCAAGATGCCTGGAGATCTGTCATGGCGGCCGCGGGCCAGGTCTCCTCCCAGGAAGAGGACAGCCTGTACTTGCAACGCATCGCTGCACCTGAGGTCTGCTCCTTGGCAGCCGCCCTGGTCCAGAGTTCAGCAGATTCTGGAATCAAGCTGGCTGAAGTTTTAAGCTCTCCACACCCTGTGTAGGATGCCAAGGGAGCACTTCAGAAGGCAGTGGGGAAGCTGGGGCAGGATTAAGAGTCAGAAAGTCAAAGGATGAGTGGCAATGTACATACTCACATGCATACACACAGATTCACACACACACATATGTACCCACACATGCATAAACACACATATATTCACACAGGCACACACTCACACATATGTATACACACAGGCACACACTCACACACATGCATACACACATGCATACACACATGTATACACACAGGCACACACTCACACATATGTATACACACAGACACACACACACATGCATACACACATGCATACACTCAGGCATACACACAGGCACACACTCACACACATGAATACACACATACTTACACACATGGATACATGCACACTTGCACCCACACATGCATACACACACGCATACACACACTATCACACATTCACACACACATGCGTACACACATACTCACACACATACACCCACACATGCATACACACACATGCATACACACACACTCACACACATGCACCCACACATGCATGCACTCACATTCACACACTCACACACATGCACCCACACATGCACACACACATGTATACACACACATGCATACACACACACTCACACACATGCACACATGAACACACACATGCATATGCACTCACACTCATATACATTCATACCTCCACACTTGAATACACACACTTATGCATATACACTTATTGCACTCATGGACACATGCATACACATAAGCACATACATTCATATCCATACACAGTCATAGCCACACATACTCACACTTACATATACACACTCTCACACATGCATACTCACTCACATACACTCCCACACATTCACACACAGAACATATATACACTAATATACACTCACATATATGTACTTACACTCACACGCTCATACACACACACTCACACCCATAACACACACACTGATTTACAGAGCACACATACCCAGACACACACACACACACACACACACACACATACACACCATAGTCTGAACATGCAGATGCACATGACTTCATGCAGATAATTGCAGGTGGGTTTATTTTGGCAGAATACGTAAGAAGGGCTATTTTTGGATTAAGGAAGAACCTGAGGAATGATGAAAATATTTCTCATAGGAACAACAGCCCTCAACCAAGTTGGTGTTGTGTCTTCTTTTTACTTTAGCTCTGGCAACATGGGGTATGGAATCAGCCATTACCTCGTCTTTTACCCACAATGAAAACTTGGCTGACACAGGATAATGGGTTAGGATTGTCTCTCAATACTTTGAATTTTCCATGTGCTCCTGGTCTCACCTGGCACCACCTCCTACACACACGCTTGAAGGGAAACCAGAGGTCCAGCCCAGGCAGGAACTGAACAGTGTATGTAACAAAGGCAGAGCCCATAAAAATGGTCCAGATGACAGCAATGCACACAGCCAGTTCTGAAAGCACTGCCCCCTTCAGACATTCCTCCTGTGACTTACTGATTACCAAGCCTGCAGTGTGACTCTTGCAGCAACATGTGAAGCTGTCTGGGGATGACTTCTGTGAGATGTCCCAGGCATGGACTTCTGTGAGATGTCCCAGCCTTGGGCATGAGAGGAAGTCAGGAAGGACCATGTGTGACCATCCCTGAACCAAAGTAAATAGGAAGCGATGGCAGAGCTAGTGGGCTGTGGGAACCAAAGTTACTGATTACTTCTGCTCTAAACTCGTTCTTGGGATATATATTGTGTTGCCTTCTTGGGTAGGGAAAAGAAGTCCAGGAGGGGAAGGCAATCAGTATGCTACCCTCATATTTTGTTTTTCTCACGCTTTAATTCTCTACTGACATATATGGATTGTGCAGATTCATGCTTCAAAGATGCCAGCCGATGTTTAAAGAAAGGAACACATAGAAAGAACTGTAAGAGACTTCGGGGAGCAGGTTCCTGAGCAAGGTGGGCTGAAGATCCACTCAGGAACCACATGGTGCTGAAGAGGAAGGAGAATCCATATTCTCTTGTCAGTGCTGAGACACATGTACCCCACCCTAATGCCTTACGTGTAAGATCCATTTTTATTTCCTTATCTGCCTGATGCAAATGAAGGCATTATTTGCTTTCTTCCATGTCACGTGGTGTCTATATAACTCCTTATATGCTTCTCGCTAGACAGTCACAAGATGGGGACATCCATCAGGGGTTCCCACCAAGGTGATAAACAACCCCAAGTCATGGTATCAAACTCATCTCTTCTTGTGATCCTGTTGATGACTGAGTTGGTCACCAGCAGAATTTTTCTAACAGAGTTTGCCCATGGTACAGCATGCCAACCCATGCTAGCTCAGTGTAAGCAATCACTCAGAACACTTTACTCAGGAATGCCAGAGCTGAGTACCAGCTTCATGTGTGTCTGGAGGGATGCCAGAGCTGAGTACCGGCTTCATGTGTGTCTGGAGGAATGCCACTCTGACACGATGCTGAGGCTTCCCTTCTAAAGTCTCTCTTTTAATCCCTCATATTCTGTAACCTAGTGTCACATTTACAGAACAAACTTGCCTTTCCTTGTGGCTCCTGCTCACTCTAAGGTTCCTCTTGCTCTGTCTCCTCCTCCCACTATCTGAGGGAGGGGACTTCTCAAGAAGTCATCGTTGAACTAAGACCTAGTGAAGTCAGTACTAAAAATCCAACTGGTACGAGCAACCCATCTCTCTTCTAGGGACTGTTTTCTGCTATATCATACAGGGAACACTGTCAGCAATGGCCACCTTCACAAGTCATCAATAGCTCCATCCAGTGTCATTGCCGCCTCCTTTTTCCTTCATAATCTTTGGTCTCAGTGCATTCCATTCTAGATCTAAGAACTCCTTAAGTCAGACCATCTCCACCCAGTATCCCCCTGACTCAACTCCTCCAGCCTGTTTCCTGCTTCCCTTCTTCCTCAGCTCCTGCCACACCTGGCATCCCAGAGGCTGGCCTCACAACACCATCTATGGTCCTGTCCTGGTTCCTTAGCTCCCTGTGTCTGTAGCCTTGGGTAATGCTTAGTTTTTGTCCCTGGCACTCTTTTCCAGGCTGAGGCCCTCTCACACAGCATTAAATGTAACAGGTACTCAGTGAACGCAGGCTGACTCATTAGCTACAGCTTAGGTGGAGTGACCAGGCACAGAAGGAAAAATATGCTCTTCCTTTCCCTCCACCTTTCTGTGTCATGTGTGGATACAGCCATCACCAAGGATTCCTCCAATGAAAGGCCTGGGCTTTCTTCACCCTTCCCAGAAACTTTCCATCCTTGTCCTGATCTGAGCAGTCCTTCTGCCCTCTTCTCAAGCTCAGGTCGGCTCCCCCTTACCACACCCAGCTTGGCTCCTCCCCTTCGCTAAGCCCAGGTTGGCTCCTCCCCCTCACTAAGCCCAGTTTGGCTCCTCCCCCTCGCTAAGCCCAGTTTGGCTCCTCCCCCTCGCTAAGCTCAGGTTGCCTCCTCCCCTCTCTGTACCTAAGGAACTTGTTGAGGTCCCCGTGCTTCATGTACTCAAAGACCATGATGAGTGGGTCGCCCTCCACACAGACACCATAGAACTTGACAATGTGCTCGTGCTGGAGGTTGGTCAGCAGCTCGGCTTCACGATGAAAGTCCTTGCGTGCGTTGTCGCTGGCGTCCTTCAGCGTCTGTCAAAATGGGGACAACAAAGAAAAGGTTGTTTGGATAAGGAATTCCACCAGTGAGTCCTAAGAATTCTAAAATGGATGACCACGTATTTAATTAATTACACAAAATGTCAGGAAGCAGCCTGATTCCTGAGGAAGTACTAATTGTGCTTAGGAGACCTCATCCTCACGGGTACACAAAGGTCCAGCGCTCTCAGAGCAGTCTCTTAATCGAATTCTCATCGAGTTACAAGGGAGCTTATCTTACTGGCTTTATGGTTTTTACCCTTGGTCTGGGCCCAATGAACACCACAGTGTCTGTCAGTTCGTGTCTGTCACTTTGTGGTGCCTGTTGAGATTTCAACGGTGCTGTGCACACTTCTCTACTCAGATAACCCTTGAAAATGTTATTTTTAAATTTTTTATCTATGTAGATGTATTTGCACAGAGCAATGAGTGCATACATGTGTGCATTCATGCGTGTGTGTGTGTGTGTGTGTGTGTGTAGGTACCCACAGAGGCTAGAGGTGCTGAACCCCGTGGAACCAGAGCTACAGGTAGTTGTTAGGCATGTGATGTACCTACTGGGAACTGAACCTGGATCCTCAGCAAGAGAACTCTCGTAGTCTTAACCACTGAGCCATCCCTCCAGCCCCTGCTCGTATGACTCTTTAAATAATAAATTCTGAAGAGATCTCAGACAAGAGCACAGTTGAGGCTTGAGAGTCCCAGAGTCCAGCTGCAGTCAGGGTCATGTTCTGACTTTATGTGACACCCTAAAAGCTTTCTCCAGTCTGTTCCCTGTACACTGAGAAAGTCCCATCCCTTCAGCTTCAAGATGATGGGTCAGTTATACTTCCAGGATGCGGGTGATCAAAACCCAGCAGGGCCTGTCCAAGTACAGGTGAGGTCAGGTGAGGTGCACAGAGCCTCGTAGGAAGCTCACAGCAGGAAGAGGTGATAGAACCACCCGACGATCACAGGGTCCAGGCTGGGGTAAGAAGCATGAAGCCTGTGTGATGTGTCCCATGGAGTCCTAGTTATCTGCTTGTAGCCAACGTCATATGCGTATACTATGTTGTCACATACTGTCACTAAGCCAGGGTCGTGGCATAAACAAAGATGTAGTGAGCTGGCCTCGGTGGCGCATACAGGTTAGACTGGAGAGAGCAAGTATGGAGAATTGTGTGTTACAGCTCGCCGGGCACTTATGAAACCTTAGACTTAACTCCCAGAATCACAAGAGGAAAAGCGCCCATGGACCCTAATCTTGACCCGGGTGATTATGAACAAACATGTAGAAACGACACTTATATAACGAACTATAAATCCAGACCCTGAGTGAACCAGCTTCTCCCTGTCTCTGCTTGTCCATCCCTTGGCATTGCTCCCCTGAGGCCTACAGTGCCAGGACCACCATGAGTAATGTTCACAGCTGCTCAGATAACAATGGAAGCTGCCTCACCACCCCTGTACAAATTCTCCCCTTTGCCTGGACTGCTGTCTTGGGTGTGGTTGAACAATGCTTTGTCCCAGTCCCCAGAATGTGTGAATGTTACTGTCAGTAGGAAACAGGATTCTGCAGATGATTAGTGCATGGCTCTCCATGTAAGGCTCTCCATGTATGGATCTCCATATATGACTCTCCATATATGGCTCTCCATGTATGGCTCTCCGTGTATGGCTCTCCATGTATGGCTCTCCATGTATGGATCTACTTGTATGGATCTCCATGTATGGCTCTCAATGTATGGATCTACATGTATGGATCTCCATGTATGGCTCTGCATGTATGTATCTCCATGTATGGCTCTCCATGTATGGCTCTCCATGTATGGATCTCCATGTATGG